CAGAAGGGGTGCTGGGGCCTGTTTGAGGTTGGACACTCACCCAGGTTATACCACATGTCCCGGATTCTAAAGCCGAGTTCCTTTCTCATGTCCCCGTATCTAGGAAGAAGATCGTAAACCAAGAGAGGATTTGCAGTGGAACTGAGATGCATATAATACCAACGATGAAAGGTATCAAAACAGTCTGTGTCCCTCTGGGTCACCTTTAAGGCAAGTTCACTATAAGACGAGGTTAATTCCCAAACAAGCCCCAAATGGAACTGAGTCTCACAGAGCATGGGGGACTTTCATGGCATAAGAAGCCAAACACAAACGCTGAACAAAAACTGAGAAGGTGAGATTAACAAACTTACTGAAGGGAGAGAGAAACAGTTTGGTGGCTATGAAACAAAGAAATAACCAAATAAAATATAAACAATCATGAAAAGGAAGATGAATGAAGGACGATTTACACAGTACAGTGCCTGATGTCTAACAAACATGCTGACTTCATATACTTATATTTGGTAACATATATCCATTCCAGTGTGTTCTTCAAAGTACTCACACTGGAAAGCTCTGGACCATGCATTCTCAACAGGGGTGAGATTGTCCACAAAGGGGTGAAAATTGGTCCTTGGGGACAAAAAAAACCCTTACAGTTTTTATGTACACAGCATGGATAGACATGCGGTACATCAAATGACACGTGGTATATCTGTCGTATTAGAATCTCATGGGGGGTATGATGAACAGAACAGTGTCTAAAAGGGCTTTTTGTCAGAGTTCATAATGAGAAAACGAGCAGAGAAACACTGGTCTAGACAGTGATTCTTGGGTGGAAGTGAATCAGAATCATCTGGAAATCCCTTAAAGAATACTCGTGCCCGAGGCAAACCCACCCCACATACCGCAGCAGAGTCTGGGGGTTGGAAGATCGGAAATGAAGTCAGACAAAAGAGACTGACATTGCAAATGTTGCCTAGGAACATGAACATAGACCTATACCTCACCCTACAACCACTGCCCTACATTATTCTACTCATACTAACGTTGCCCTGAATATTTTTTTCAAATTCCTCCTTTGGAAATGTCTTCAGGAGCCAGCATTAAAAATAAAAATCACATTTCAAAAAACCTCTCTTATGATTTCGCCTTAACAAAAATATTTAACCTAAGTCCATTATTAATATTAGGTAAGCAAATGTAGTTAAGGTCTCACACATAACAGACACTAAATGACAAAGTACTGTTGATGCTACTTCTACTAAAAATAAGACAAAGCTTGAAAAAAACCTTCACTCATATCTCTACAACCTTAATATAATAGGATTTATTTTCCAAGTTTTATCTTTGCCCATAACCATACATATTGTTACGTGGGTTGGATTCAGTCCTACTGACCCCAAACCAGAATCATTAATCCTACCCAGCCATTTTATTGATAAGAGTTGGCATCAACTAACTTCACTTATGATTGTTTAACCAAAATCAAATCCATCCTTTAAAGAAGTTATATTGCCAAGATATTCTAAAGAATGAGATCAAGGTATCCATCTTAAAATCCATCTTAAAATCAGTATATCTCAATACCCGCCCCTTGAGGAAATCTGCAAAACAGGTTTTACTTTTATCTTTTAAAGCACAGTCACTAAATCTCAGTCTCTCAGCTATCAATATCCATTTTTTTGGGAGGAACCAGAGGTAGAGGGATGCTACATAATTTGTCTGGAATCCCAGATATCCCAGTAAGGAGAACAGAACTAAAGTTTCAAAGTCTTTAAATAATAAATTTCTCAAGTTATTTTTTTAACTACACAGTCTTTGAGTTTTCAGGCTCTCAGATTAACTCTGAAACAGATCTGAGATGAAAGCAAAGAAAAGCTTCCCTAAATTTCTCGCCACTCTTGCACAGAATGCACATTGCATTTTGAAACTCAGGCCAGGAATCTGGAGGGCATTTTTAGGTTATATTTGAGTCTTAGCAACTGTGCTGAAGGAGTGTGGAGGTGGCACTATGCCTGCAATTTTCAGGAGCTGCCAGCAGAGGCGCAGTTGCTCCTGGGGATGAGCGTGCTGACAGCTGAGATGTCCCTCCAGGTAGATTCGATGAAAAGCAGGGGACTGATGGGAAGAGGATGGGGCCCTGAGAAAAGAGACGTGAACCTGGGAGACTGTGAAGTCTATTAAGTAATTATTTAAAAATCTACCTCACTAACAACGTGGGCAGCCCACTGAACAGTAATTTCCGTGATACCAAAAATACTGCTCTGAATATAAATAAAAAAAAATCCCCTTCCCAATCTTAACCAAGGTTAAAAGGACACTTACTTTTTTATAATTTTGCTGCGCTTGGCTTGTGAGAAGGTTTCAAGCTGAAGAGATTCATGGGTGAGAAATGCTACTGCCAAATGGAAGTAATTGTTCCAGAGCTGTTCAGAATTAATTGTGTGGGCAAAAAGAGATGGAAAATAACATTAATAAGGGTCATAATAAAACAGTGTCACATGGTAGAAAGTCATTAACCAGGGATTAATGAAAAAAAAACAAGACTTCTTTTTCTTGGGTTTCAATTATTTGGTCCTGAAAGTTTTGAGACTTAATATCGAGCTTTTTTAAAAAAATCCAAATGATTATATTTTTCTTTACTCCTGGGATAAAGGAAACTGCAGCCAAGATACGCACCTATTTATAGTAGGTAGTTTGGCAACATGAACCAAAAGCCCTAAAATTTTGCCAAACTGTTGAATCAGTAAATGCTTTTAGAACTTTATCCTGAAAAATAACTATGGCTATTTTAAAATGTTTAAAACAAGGAAGGCCATTATGGTGCCATTTAACATAACAGAAAATGGGAACCATCTAAATGTTCATAAGAAGAATTTGGTTAAATCAATCACAGGCCGGTCATATAACAGACTGTATTCAGCCATTAAAAATATTGTGAAAATATTTAACATCATTGAAAAGATCACAGATCATTAAAAAAGAAAATAAAATAGAATAGGTTACCAAAGAACAACACAGCTCAATTCCATTTTGTCATATGTACATATGTATGCACATATAGGCATTAACATACATATTTACATATGTATATGAAAACACGTATATATAATTCTCCTCTACTTATGAATCTCCACTTTAAAACGTCCACAGATATAAAGACACATGACACAGAGAAGGTAAGCTTTATGAGAGCAGGGACCTCATCTGCCTTCACCAGAACCTAGAACAGCACCTTCTACGTATAAATTCTCTAATATTTGTTGGATGGGTGAATGAATGAATGAAGATAGAGTTTGTGGTCACCTGTTTTGCAATTACTTTGGACTTTTAAGAAATTGTGCATACCAACTGCTCTTTAGAACCAAACTTATTTGTAGGAGAGTTATTTGTGTGCCTATTTCTAAATATATATGTGTATTTGTGCGTATATACACAGAGGAGCGACACCAAAATGCTTACAGTGAAAAGGACTATTTGCATTTTTGATTTTCTTCTTTTAGCTTAGCTATATCTTCTACTATTACTTTTTAACTTTTTTTCTTTTTTACATGTATTTTACAGACAGAAGGAAAAAAACCTATTTTATTGTGTCCGGAGGACAGTGTCACAGGAGTGTGTCCTTTAGGAAATAAGAAAACACAAGAAAACTTTTATCATTTGAAAATGATGAAATCTGAGGCGACGTTTTCCAAAGTGGACTAATTCTCTTGCTGGGGCTGAGAACTGCAGGAATGTGTAGGTGAGTCGCATGCTTACCTGAAGTTCAAACCTTGCCTGATCCATGAAGAATCTCATGAGAACTTCGGCAAACTGATTTATAGCACGGAGAAAAACCCTGGGGGAGGAAAACACTGGATAAAAAAAAGGCAACTTCATGCCCTTTGAAACATTTTCCCACATAGGTTAAAAACTAAACCAAACTGAACCTGGACTTGGCAACGTCAGACCTTATGGATCCATCAATGTCCTTAGACTCCAACAACACAGCAGACAAGGGCAAAGAAGTCCAGTTTCTAGAACTGACCATAAGAACCTCTCGGGGCTGTATTAGAATGTAGGTAAATGAGGGCAGAGCTGAGTCTACAAAGCAGGCCTCTTGGGTTGTAGACCAGGGCAATATGATCGATATTTCCCTTTTAAGCCTAGGGTCTCTGATATAATTTTTTCTCTAATCCATACATCAGTGGGAAGGGTTTTTCTAATCGGGTATCAGAGTAGAATCACTCAGAATCGGGTATCGCGAAGAGTTAACAACAAGGCTTATGATAATGATTTGATTTAGCTTGTTAAAAATTCTTTTGTTTTTGAGATGAGGTCTTGCTCTGTCGCCCATGCTGGAGTGAAGTGGTCCAGTCATAGCTCACTGCAGCCTCAAACCCCTGGGCTCAAACGATCCTCCCACCTCAGCCTCCTGAGTAGCTGGGACTGACTATAGGTGCACATGACCACAGCTGGCTTAAGCTCATCAAAAATTCTAAAACCCTTTCAATATAACAAACATTCAGTTCATTTCACTTCTATTCAGCAAGTATTTGCTGCGGGACAGCAATTGCAAAGCACCAGCTTAGGTGCTGTGTTGAAAGACAGCTCCTGTTTTCAAGATATTTACAGATTGGTGGGGCGAAATTCACAACATGTAAATCAATCTAACCATGACCCATTATGGAATATGAAAAAAGGTCTATGACAGGGTTTCAAAGGAGTCTGGGAAATCAAAGGGAGAGAAGATGACATCCAGGTCAGAAAGGCATCCTCTGGAGGTGACGGTGGAGAAGGACCTTACGGAATGGCTGGAATGCTAACAGCCAGACAGGATGGGAAGGCATTGCAAAAGGAAGACATAGCATGAGACAAAGCAGAGCTTGTGTTCAGGGCGGGGCAGAGGCCAGCTTAGCTGGAGCACAGGTTGTGCACACGGGGAAACAGTGGAAGGTACGTCTAGAAAAGCAGGGTGGGTTTTGAAGTCAGGATGAAGTAGGTCACATGAAAACTGATGTTGCTGATTAATATGAGTGCACGGGGAGACCAGACTAGAGAGAGGAGAGCAGAGAGCCCACGCTGGAGCACCTGTAGCAGCCCGGGAAATCGAGATCGTGAGCACAGACATCGGGATTTTGGAAGCGGGAAGAGCCCTACTTTACGGATGATGGATCTGAAGGAGGCAAAGAGACTGAACAGCACTTCCCAAAGTTCACCCAACAGGCTCGAGTATTCAGTCACATGCCTCAGGGCGGCCACAGGCTGGCTCACCTGCTCTGTGTCATGTTCATGACCATCCAATCTTTGGCATAGACATTTTTTCCAATCAGATCCTTAAACATGATAAAAGTTTCCATGAGGAAGTCCTGCAGAGAACAGAGGAACGGTTGGGGAAAAACTGGGTTATGTGCATAATCTTTCTTCCAGCGTATGCACGAGAAGGACCACGACCTCAGAATAAGACGTTCCCGGTGCCACAGTAATGGCCCATGTTCCTCATACGGTTTCTAGGGGTGACAAAACACTCTTGTAGCTATCACACAACTTGATTTTTACACTGTAGGATCCTCTAAGGAAAACAAAAAGAATTGTCCGCATTTTACAAATGGTACAACTGAGGATGGGAAAAATTAAACAACTCACTAAGGTCATAGAAACCAGGAAGCAGGAGAGCTGGGATGAGAACTCAGGGCGCTGAACCCCATATTTACAGCTCTTATCTCTTTAGTCCTCTGCTGTCACGTGTCATCTTGATGCACTCAAAAATAATTCACCAACAATTGTGAGAAAATGGATACTTATAACAGATCTGCGTTCAATTCCCCTTTGTTATGGTTAGAACAGAACAAAAATACTACAAGAAGCAGAGTCATAATTCTTCCCTATCCCAGGAAGGCTGTCACGTGCAGCCTGGAAGAAGGGTCCTAAGTGGTCCTTAAAAAGAGGTAACAACCGTGACGTGTGATGGTGGTAATGACTAATGATGTGAGCTCAGCAAAGAACAGAAAAACCGTCTCTTCTAGTCCAAAGGGGATTGTGAGCAAAAAGTAATTCAGAAATAGAACAATCAGACCAAAAATCAAAGCAAAAAGTTTTGAAAACATTTTTATTAGTTAGCTAAATTTAGATATTTTCCACTGGGATTCCTGAAATTAAAATGCAGTCCCAATTTCTCTGGCACTAACCTACACAGTGCTTACCTTAAGTACTATATGTAGCAGTAAGAACTCTGAACTTGAGAGGCAGGAGGCCTAGGTTCTATTTCCAATGACATTTTTCTAAGACACTGGTCATGGCAGTTAACTTCCTGTACTTTGGATGCCCAACGGCACAGGCACGCGACTGATGCTGGCCAGTGCTGGCCACGCGCCACCCTTGATCTGTCCTCTGGTTCGGTGGCGACTCAGACTTATCCACCCTCCATTCTGAAATTCTAGACATATTTCATGAGTTTTTTGCAGGATACATTTTTGAGTGCTTCCACCAATTTACTAACCACTCTATTCACTTTTTCTTTCAAATGAAATTTAGATGTTAGCTATCTGCTTCGGACCCTACATCCAACTCTTGGTCATCTAAGTTAATGAGATGGCATAATCAAGGTAACTCATGGACAATCCCAAGGCTGCATTTTATCCACCACTTCCCAATGTCCTTCGTGTGATTCACTCAGAAGGCAGCATGAGAGAGAAAAGGACAGTCTTCTCGGAGGCAAGAGGCCTCGCTGGGCACTGTCGCTCTGCCGCTGAGGACTATAAGCTCAGGCAAGTTACCTGGTTTCTCCAGGCCTTCGTTCCCCCATGGGGATAACAATCCTCTTTCAATGAGATAATTCAGATGGAAGAGCTCACCATCGTTCTGGAAATAGGAGTTATGCCTCTTTTTCTCTTACCCAGCAATGGAGCCAAATTGTTAAGAGTCTGAATTTAGAACTTCCCTATTCTGCTTGCTTTCCAAAGGAAATTTGGAAAAAAAAAAAAAAATCACTGAAATATTTTACTGTTAATTTTATCTTCTATTACAATAATAGTAAATTACTCTCATAAAGAGCTTGTCTTCATGGGCATTAACTACATGTCAACTTGCACACAGCTAGGCATCTCCAGTGCATGGATTCAACTGATACTCACGTTAACCTTCAAGGTGGTACTATCTTACAGATGAGGAAACTCAGGTTTCGTGAGGTTAAATAGCTTGCCCAGAATTTCAAACCAGGAAATGAAATCCTCAGAATCAAACCCAGAGCTGGGTGTTCTAAAGCCTGTGCTCTTACCCATCGTCTGCAGGTGGAAGAGAATGCACTGATACCAATGGCCTCCATCTCTCCCCTCCCCTCCTCTCATCCGGACCTTCTTGCTCCTCAGTTGTACCGTTTGTAAAATGTGGACATCTACATACTGCTATGGGTCCTGGGCCATGCTGCCCATCAGAGCGGGGCCTTGGGGGAGGCCCACATCCAACGCGGTGATGAACGTCCACCACTGGACCAACTATAATAATAAACAACATCTTCTCTCCAGTTCCTTGTGTTTGTCCATCACATGGGCATCAGAGAAAGGAGGGAGCTACATTTACTTGGGTGCACGGGCCACATACTCTCAGTATAATACAGGCAGAAAGTAGAAAATCTAGAGCACAAAGACTGAAACCTGCATGGATGGTGGGAAGTCACCCAGAGCAAAGACCAGTGAGACGTGGCATCAGTTTCCTAATCCAGCCCCATGTCCAGCCCACTACTGAGAATCAGATAATATCTTAATGGACGGCTTAAGGGCCAGGAACAGTTCCCTGAAGAGAAGGCACAGTGAAGCGGTAGCCAGAGACCTAACTCAGCCTTTTAGATGTGTGCTTAATGGCAACTATGAGAACAATTTCCCTGCTTAAAAAACAATGGAATATTCCCAACTGAAGGTAACTTCCAAATGTTGTAAGGGGTAGGAGATTACCCCTTCTTGCTTCGCACTCCACAATGATGATATCAACCATTAGAAGCCTTTGCACACCCTGCCTCCTAAAATCCTTGCCATGCACGAGCAACCACCGTCCCTTCAGATTAAACACTATCCTTTTTTTCAGAGCAAAAAAGATGCTTCTAAAGAAGGGCTTTCTCTCAATCCAAGAGACTTAGGGTAGGGGTGTGCGATGACCTTCTAGTATATGTGTTGTACTTGTCTTCAAATCCTACCAAAGAGAGAAGGAAAGAATCAACTCTTTCTTTCCGTCTTCACTGTGGACAGCCACACAGCAATGGCGGTGGGTGGGAAGAGAACCCTGGATTCATGAGGGATGTGGACTTTCAGTTATTTTATTTTATTTTTTTTTCACCACATATAAGTCTTTAGGTTCCCAGGCCCCGGTGAAGACAACTTACAATGATGTCCTGTCTGGTTTTAAAAGTGCTGATGTAGTGGCCATAGTGGCTGTCCTCCATTTGCCGTAGGATGGCAATCATGCAAGCCACAAAACTCCCCTGGAAGGAGAAAGAGAACAAAAATCCCGGACTCCTTAGACCACTCACTGACAAAACAAGATTTGAGAGCCACGTTCTTTGGTTTGTCCCACCCAATGAGCTAAGCATGGACCCTACCACCTGGAAACACGCGGCGTTCTAAAAGTCCAAAGGGCCTTTCCATGTTTTGTACTTTTGTTCTTGCTCAGTCTGGACTCAAACTCCTGTCCTCAAGCAATCCTCCCGCCTTGGCCTCCCAGAGGGCTAGGATTACAGGTGTGAGCCACTGCGTCCAGCCTGGCTAATTTTTCTTATTTTTTTATAGAGATAGGGTCTTGCTTTGTTGCACCGGCTTCTTCTTGAACTCCTGGCCTCAAGCGATCCTCCTGCCTTGGCCTCCCAAGGTGCTGGGATGACAGGCGTGAGCCACTGTCAGGGAAGCTATTCTTAATCGCCATAATTAAATTTGTGACTCCCTCACCCTCACTTCTCTTATGCTGCTCAATTTTTTTCTCCTTGGCACCTGTTGCCTTCTAATACTATGTAGTTAATTTTGTCGTAGTTACGGTTGTTACCGTTATTAATAGAATGGAAGCTTCTTGAAGGCGGTAATTTTGGTCTGTTTTGTTCATGGGTATATCTCCAGTGTCCAGAACAGTGCCTGACTTACAATAGTTTCTTAATACATATTTGTTGAATAAATGAATGGTTTTTTATTTACATCAGCAATTTGAAATAGTTCTTTTCCTATGTTCTCTAGTTTAAATCTTACCGTATTAAAATATAGCAAGTAAAAGATGCTTCGTTTTAATGATGACACCACTTGGTCTTTTAACAGTTACCTCTGGTCTCAACCATATTAATGCTTTTTATCTGGAATCTATTCAGACGTAGTAGATGGGAAATACGAGGCCTTTTCACAAGCATGCTAATCACAAGGTCTTTAAAACGTTTCTTTTTTTCCCTGAACCAAAGGCGCTGGGTGGTTCATGTTGGATCATTTTCCCCCTATAGAAAATCCACGTCATTACCGAGATCTGCTCGGGGTTATAACCGATAGACCGTGATGTGAGGGGCCTTGTGGGAAGTTGGTCTGGAGCCACCAGCCCCAGAGTCCTCCCCACAGGCAGGTGGGGCACAGAGGCAGCGGCGGCCACGTGAACCACCGAAGAGACACTCACGATGTGGGGAGACTGCCGGTTCATCCCGATCACCGTGCGGTTGATCCTTCTCAGCAGCCGTTCCATTATCAGCTGGATGTGCATCGCCGTGGGGCCCTGGGGGACAAAATACAGGATCGGACACCCCTGCTTCTGACTCACTTTCACTTTTCTTAAGGGAACCTTGGACAGATGCGTGTTCTCCTTAAATCTCTTCCCGGCTCTTCCCTACAAAGCATCTTTTGTCCAAAAGGGCAAAACGGTTTCACGGAATAATATATAACTTTACAAAGGAAGTCAATTGAAAATGATCAGTTATGACACTTAAAAGATGAACGTGGGTATGCAGTAAATGCCCCCCAAATAACCCCGACTGTTTGGGTTCACTGAGAGCTCGCCGTGGCCACCACCGCAATAAATAGTTTTGGGGGAACCCCCACTAGCATGAGGTGTTTGGTTCTGATGTGGCACAGAGTAGGATTGCCCAGGACAGTTAGGCACATGTCTGGGAACTGAAATGCAAAAATACAAAGTTCTTGGCACATTCTGTGCTGGGGAAAGAAAACCAAGAAATTCAAGTCAAGGGGATTGTGATGGAGTGAATGTTTGTGCCTCCTCCGAATACATATGTTGAAGCCCTAACCGCCAATGTGATGGTGTTAGGAGATGGGGCTTTTGGAAGGTAATTAAGGTTAGATGAGGTCATGAGGGCGGGGCCCTGGTCTGATGGGATTAATGCCCTTATTAGAAGAGACACCAGACAGCTTCATCTCTCTTTGTCCACCATGTGAGCACACAGTGAGAAGGCAGCCGTCTGCAAGCCAGGAAGAGAGCCCTCACCGAAACTGAACCACGCTGGCACCATGGGCTCAGACTTCCAGCCTGCAGAACTATGGGAAAATAAATATCTGTTGTTTAAGCCACTCAGTCTGTGGTATTTTCTTATGGAATACTGAGCAGACCGACATAAGGATTTGACGTTCTGACTCTGTCATGTGTGACTTTGAGCAATTATTCAACCTCACCAACCTTCAGTTTTCACAGCTGCAAAAGAAGGATGATAATAGTTTTCTTATAAGAATCAGTTGGGCTGATGTACACAACAGTGTCTAATAAATGTCTATTCTTTCTTTCTCCTTCTTTCCTTTTTTGTAGTTAGATATCACATTCATTCAGCGCCAACTTACCAATATTCAACTTGACTTTTCAAAGCCTTTATTCATCCTTGCTTTGTGATAAATATTTTGAAACTCCTGCTTTATGCTCCAATTAACTAAATGATTGCTATATGTAATTTTTGGCTTAACATTTTATTTATTATTTTTAAAATATTTAACTGACAAAGGCTGTATATATTCAGTGTGTACTATATGTTGATTGGATATACCTGTATACTGTGTACTGATTAGTACAACCAAGTTAATTAACATATCCATCACCAACCATGCTGCACATCAGATTCCCAGAACTTGCTCATCTTGTAACTAAAACTTTATATCCTTTGATAAACATCCCCCATCCACCCCCTGCCATCCCCCCCAACAGCCAGATAACCAGATAACTACCGTTCTACACTCTGCTTCTAATACATATTCTACGTATAAGTAAGATCATGTAGGATCTATCTACTATTATATGTAACTTTATCAAAGTATCAAGTATTTTTAATCCTTCATTCCCTCCCTCCCTTGCTTTTTATTATTCATTTACTTGCTTCAGTGACATTGCTCCAGTGCATACATATAAAAATGCTTATGGAGGAAAAATATACCACCATGATCAACAAAAAATTATTGGACTTAGTACTTTAACAGAGCTCCAAGATCAATAATTTTGAATGTCTCTGTTTGTTATAGGGAATATTACATTGGGAAGACAAAAAAACACGTCAATTGAATCTCCTTGCACAGGATTTAAATACATTAAAGTCACTGCTGAAGAGTATTTCTGTGCAGAGGGAAGGCAGGTGGAGATGTTACATATTACAGAATAGGGTCAGAAGTGGAAGACACCCACGAGGTCATCTAGAATAATTCCTACATTTATGGAACAGGAAACTGAGGCACTGAGAGATTTGCCTAAGGACAAAGAGCTACAGGGTGAAAACAATGGGACCAGAAGCCAAACACCCCGATACCTACATTTCAGATTAACTGTGGATCACAAACATATGCTTTCTAGAACACTGGGTTCCTGGCTAAACCAAAGTGTCTGGCACACTGCTGCCAAATTCACAGGGCTTAGAACTTTATTTTAAATAATTACTGAGTTCTATTAGTTAACTTTTTAAAAAATTACTGTGTTTACAACACAACAAGTCCTTGGTTAGGAACTGAATCCTTAATCACAACATTCCTTAGGAAAATTTATGCCATTTTATAAAGTGGTTTCCACAACTATATTTAATCAAAAAAGGGGGAATGATTTATGATGAATAAATATCAAATAAACGGTACAAACAGTAAGTGGGAGGCAGGGGCTTGACGTGGGGGGATAAGGGTGAAGGCAGGAGCTAGAGAAGCAGTGATGCCGTGGTGTGGATCGGCAGAAATGCAGACCTGCCACATAAATCACGAGCAGAAGAAAAGGGTGGCGTGGCCACACGGCGGTGGACCTCGACAGGAGAGCTGAGGGTTCAGCCACAGGGACAGGCAGAGTGTTCATGTCTTTTGGCAGAATGGAATCTGAAGATACTGGTAAGAGAAAGGCTACAGGCAAAAACCAAGAGTGGTTTTCCTCTTCTGTGGGAACACCTGTGCCACACAGCCTGCACGCAGGTGGGGACTGTGGTTTGGGGCAAGATCCCTTTTTAACCCCGAGCCCTCAATTGCTCAGCCGAACACATGCTGCAGAGTTCTCCAGCCCCTGCAGCAGAGCCTAGGTCTGTGGGCTGTTGCTGTCTCTGGGATGTGGGAAATCCAGGCAGGGTCAGCCCCATTTGGGGGAGGGGCGGGGGCCAGATCACAGGGAAGACCCACGATAAGAAATAGTTTCCACCAGGCTCCAGAGAAAGCATCCGTGTCAAAGAGGATATGAAATCGGGAACTTCTTAGCAGCTCAGGAACATCTACAATAGTGTTGTCAGGCACCAAAGGATAAGAGAGTAGAGGTTTCTGCACAAAATCAGAAAGTCTCAGCAGGCCTCTGATTTTTAAAAGAACCCACAGGGATGCCAACGGTGAGCAAATTAGGCAAGCCAGGAAAAGCAGCTCGCGGAAGGCCCAGCAGTGAGCCGACTTCGCCTGGACCTAGGTGTGCACAGGAAGTTCTGGCCTCTCTAGTCACCTCCACAATGGGCACAGTCTGCCCCAATGCCCGGGTTCAAAATGACCCACGACCAGGAAGGTCATGGAATCACTCCCGTCTGCTGCAAAGGGGCGGTGTGAGCTCTGTGCCACGTCGGTGACGACTCGACTCACCACATCCTTCCTGTCCAGCACCTCCAGGATGCTGCTGAGCAGCTGCGAGCTGGCCTCGTGGTCAGGCTTGCTGGAGTTGTCGTCTAACTGGCCGCTGAGCTGGTCTGTCAGCAGCGGCAGCAGCACGTCTCTGCACTCTGGGAAGGAAAACGCCGGCAGTTCACACGCAGCCGTGCTACCCGCCGAGCCGCCTGCCTGTCTCCTTTCTGCAACTCTCTCGCGGCCTGTCCCCGTCGCTCCAAGCTCTGGAACCAGCCCTACCGGAGCAGGGTCCCCCAGGCCACCGAGGAGCACCTGGCTGTGGGCACGGAACGTCAGCCTAGTCACTGGATTATACAGACTAAGAAAAGTAACTCCGCCCATGAGCAAATGTGAGGACTCAGCAAAAGGTTTAAAGTATTTAACAAGTTCTCTAGCTTTTAAAACACCTACTTGATAAGTGAAAGTGGAGTCATGTGAAACTAAGAAAACTAAGCAAGTCAAATACTTTTTCAAAAATTTTTTCACCTGATGGAGAAAATTCACTATGAAATTCCTATAAATACTGAGCTTCCCTAGTACATTTCAGTATGATTCACAGACATCCCGCTCACGTTTTTGCAGGCGTGTGGATTACAGAAAGTAAGGTATGATCTAGTATGTCTTCCTACTGGGATCGTCACTCTTATAACACATTTTTTATGAGCCCGAGTACTCTGGATGCTGGAGAAATGACTATTAACAGTGATCATACTTTGTCTAGAACTATCTAGTGTATGCTTGCTCTCGTGCTCAAAACATCTCATTTTTATTGTCTCAGTTATCCCTTCTGTATCCTTAGGGGCAGAGATTATCAAAGCACATTAAGATGTTTAGTAATAACTTGTTTTCTACTTAAGAACATTCACTAGCTTTTTGAAGGCGTCACCTCTATCTCTGTATCCTAGGAACATTTGAAATTCCTAAGCACAAATTCACAGGGTCAGAAAGTATCAGAGCCAAAAGAGGCTACCAATTCCTTCCTTCTGTAGAAATAGAAGCTGAGACTTAGAGAAGGTCACTCATTTGTCCAGAGTTACATCACCAGCCAGGGATAAGGCCGGGAGGGTTCTCCCACCGACAATCCACTCAACTTGTCTGATTTCGGAGGAGGCCGGCTGATCCTCAGACCCTCAGGCAATACACGTGCATAACATGAGGTCGCCCTCTGCAACTCACTGCCCTGGTAGTAGCTCCAAAAGAAGTTCCCCCAGCTGCCCCGCTCTAGCAAGGCTTGGGTTTACAGGGAAGGACGAGGTATTAGACCTCCTCCTTGGAGCAGCCTTGGGAGAGCAGCACAGTGATTTAGGGTGGCTACCTACCTGACTCAACTTACAAAATGAGAAGTATTTTATCACTGTAAGAGATTTTTTTCCCCCTCCATGGCCCTCACGGTGATATGCTGGTAATCTGGCTCCCCTGTGCCTCCTAAAGAGAAGCCTTAATTTATAGTGTTTGCCGATTGCCCTTGTGTAAATACTTCCACCGTGGTCAATTTCCGGCTACTACTGTGATACCGCTGAACGTGGAGTTGGGAAGAGTTGCACACACCAGCTCTCCTGAGCCGGTGCAAGTAGAATCCGGCACACTGCTGCCTCCCTGACCCTGAGTTTTTGAGGTTGTCCAACGAGTATAGGTTGAAGAAGATGAATTTGTTTAAAAGGACCATCTTTCCTATTTGCTTGTTACTTTCTGGGGTCCCTCTTTCTTGAGGACAAAATTAATAAGCCACTGGCTGATGGTTCTAATTAAAGATTACAGAACGCATGATTCTGTTCTTTTAGGAACTATTGGAAATCCTGCACCAACTTCAGTTTCTCCTTAAAACTGGTCCTCCAGGAAGTCCTTAAGTGTCAGCGAATGACTGTCTAGGACATTACTAAGATTTAAAAGAAAAAAGTCAAATGCTGGCTGCAGAAGAAACGGGGCTGACATCAGTAAGCAGCAGTGTTTGGCGGACACTCACCCGACTGCCGGAAGAGACTGCTCTCTACTATCTTGGTCATGCAGTTCAGTTTCTGCCGAACCAACTGGTTGTCAGGAATGCTTTGAATGAACTTGCAGAAGAGCACGCTGGAAGAGAACCCCAGAGACAGTGTTTTCATTCTGCCAAGCTGAAGGCATCATTACAAACTTTTCTCCTCCTCCACTCTGAGATTTGGGCATGGAGAGGTTTATCTGGAAAACTCCCAAAGGACCTGAGAGTCTGTCTCTAGGCAGAGCCAGGGAGACTGTATTCCTTGTTCACTAAGGCAGAGCCCTAGAGCTGACTGTGTCAGCTGCCAAAGCCCGTCCACGTCCACTGTCACTTTCCAGACCTGCCTTTGTGCAAAATGCCCTCCCTGGCTCTAATGTAGATGGCGGTCTGACTTTGCATGCCTGGGAGGGCTGGAAGCGTATCACTACGTACTACTTTTTGGAGTTAATTTTATGTCTGCATGTCTTATTTCCCCAGAGAAAGTGCAAACCTCTCTCAGGGCAGATTCTGTATGTCCTTTTGTATCTTCCACAAATCTGAGCACCAAAGAGGTATTCCATTAATACTTGTTACAAAAATAAAAGTCACCTGCAGCAGCCCAGACTCCAGCCAAGCAGGCAAGCTGCTTCTCTGTTAAACTCAAGAAACGTTTTTTTTTTTTTTGTCATTTACCTGAGCTCAATAGGATCAAACACAAGTTTGACGTCATTAATTATGCTAGGAAGGTACTTCAAAGCCGCCCCCTGTAAGAAAAACACCAAAGGCAAATTCAGTTGCCAAGCAAGGACAAATACAGAATTACTGTTTGATCCCAGGAAGAAAAGGCTGTACTTGGAGCTTAAATAGGGAACTGGACACAGATACCCTCGCAATAAAAAGGAAAGCTGGTGTTGCTACACACAATCTCGTAAAATGCTTTTCCTGCAAACGCAGGACGTGCATTTGGAATTCGTCTTTCTATCTAAGGAGGCAGTTAAATGCTTAAAGTCTCCCTCACAGACTTGACATAAAGAGCAGGAAATAAGTAATAAAGTTCAAATCTGAGTCTTCAGGGATTATGTATTTCATATTTTTAAAAATTTGATAACAAAGATGATGGTGACGTTATGCATCTGGGAAGAACAGGAGAACTAAGAATAAAAAATCGTCACCTGTAACAGCATTGGGATCAGTTTGCTGAAATCAGGGGGTCAAATAGGGGTCACAATAGCCATTCAAGGGAGGTCAAAAAGGGTAACTTGTCTTTGGCAAACTGACATTTGAAAATAGAAATGTCCACAGATAAGTGACTTTTTCCTTTACGTTCTACAAGTCGTCCTAAAATCCACAAGCTCTCCATGAACCACCATTCACTTGGTTTCTCTCCCATGACGGCCCATTCTAAGTTGTCCCAGAACCTCAGTAACAGCCTTAAAAGAGGAACCCGTGACGCCACCCTGCCGACCTTGATCTTGACGGCTTCCTCCAGAGGCCTGTCCATCAGCATGTTGAAAGCAAGAAACAACTGGCGGATTGAATTGTTAAATTCATCTCCATCTTCGCTCTGGCCGTAAAATCTTCACAAGAAAAAGAGAAAAGCACTTGGACTTTCCATCTTTAAAAGAAATTTTAAGATAGATTTGTTGGGAAGCACGTGTTCCTGGTTTGTGGCTGGAGACATGATTCCCATTAAAAAAGGATTTGTTGTACCAAAAAACCAATGCTGAACCTGAGCGTGAGGAACGAGGGCAACTACACAAAGAAGGCACTGGCAGCACAAACACCTTAGTGTAGGTAGCATTACCTCAAGTAGAGCACCCGAGATTGGATGATGAATCTGAACAAATACTTCAAGGCTTTCAAAGCCGCAAAAAGCAACTCTGTCTTGCTGGAGTCGTCTGCGTTCGCCATGTAAAAGTTCAGTACCTTGGAGAGTTTCCTGAAAAGGGTGAGAAAGAAAAAATAAGGCAGCAGGCACCATGTACTCTGAGGCTTGGATAAGCTATGTAAGAAGGGAGCTTGGCATTCTGGAAGTAGAAGTTGTAACTCTAATGATATCTTATACAACATGCCCTCAGCAGGAAAAGTAACTCTCTTCCAATTTAGTTTCCCCATCCGCAGTCTAGGTTTGGAACTACCCTTCTGCTTAGAAATAGTAGGGGGATTCTTTCCCTTTGTGGGATGAAACAGAGGGGTTAAGAAATGAAAGAGGTGAAGTGATTCAAACATCAAGGCTATTTTAATCATCTCTGGGATGTAATACAGACACCTTCGGATGCTTTTTTATTTTTATTTTTTTGGAGACAGGGTCTTGCTCTGTCACCTTGGGTAGAGTGCAGTGGTGTCATCATAGTTCACTCCAACCCCAAACTCCAGGGCTCAAATGATCCTCCTGCCTCAGCCTCCCGAGTAGCTGCGACTATAGGTGTGCACCACCATGCCCAGCTAATTTTTTCTATTTTTAGTAGAGATGGGGTCTTATTCTTGCTCAGGCTGGTCTCAAACCCGACCTCAAGTGATCCTTCTGCCTCGGCCTCCCAGAGTGCTAGGAGTCACCATGCCCGGCCTCAGATTCTCCTTTAAGGGAGGAATTATGCTTGCCTAAAGTAGCTGCCTTAAAAGAAGTCTAATTCCTTCTATTTGACCCAAAACCCTTTGGGATCCATAAATATGGAACCAGATGGAAACCTCACTGAGTGAGCTCATTCAGACTCTCTAGAACATTCCCGGCTCTGAGCATCTCAACAGATAAAACTATTCTGGGATTTTAGATTGCTCTTTGTGTCCTTCCAGAGTTGTTGGGCTAGGAATGGTCTTAATCTTGTGCTAACTAGACTTTTGAGGGCACTCATATTTTACACATCCCTTCTGAGAATCTCTGAGCTTTTCCAGAATTATAAAAAAACAAAAGATCCAGAGGAAACATATAGAATTGAGCAAGTCTTGCAAATAAACCCAGATTATACCCCCTGGAGTGTCGCCTTTGTCTCAGGGTAATTAAGATCCACAGGGACAGGATTTCCTCACGTGTGGCCACTGCCCTCGTGCAGTGTGAGGCCACCAAGTGGAAAGAACCCATCGCTGGAGAGGTCAGCAGTTGCCCTGATAGATCAGCAGCAGCAGCCAACACGAGCTGGTATTAGCCATTGCCAAAAAAAAAAGACGGTTGCCCAATCCCAGCTATACTCCGACTGCTCCATTCATCACATTCTGCACAGTAACGGGGATGCAAGGGGCTGATATGCACGTACGACGCCATAATGAGCTGAGCGCTCAGGGTGAAGCACAGAGTGGACATTAGTTGCTTTCCTTAGTCAGGGGCTTATAAACCAAAGACAGAAGGATGCTACAGAAAGGCAGAGACTACTCCTCCTCCTGCAAAAGGCAGGAAAATGAAATCTTCTCATATCCTGTAAGAAATGCATCGTACGAAGCACCTGTGGTATAGGGTTAAGGGCACGACATGTTCTTCCTCCAGCCTTGGTCTTGCTTAATGTTTAACGCACTGCTTGATCCCCTTGGTCCGTCTTCATGCTCATCCTGCCAATATCCAATCGCTAAGATCCTGAGTTTGGTCATCTGTCCTTCATTCTGCTCCCAACTGGCTTTGGCACCTCACCTAGGTATTCTGGATCCTTAAGGAGATGTAGCCTTATCCGGAAGGGAGGGCCGGCACTGACCCGTGTTCCAGGGTTAGGGTACTGAGACGGTTCCCTCTTTCCGCCAGGAGGCTTAGCGTGACGGTCTACACTGCAGCCGCGTTTACTGAATGCAGCTCCCTCCTGTTTCCCGACGATCCAGCCCTCAGAGCACAAACCCAATACATCAACACACGGTTCCCTCGGATCATACTCACACGTACGCCAGGGTGGCACTGAAGTGCTTGTAAATGTAGGTTTCAAGTACAGGATTAAAATGCTGGAACTTGATGTCTCCTATCAGTGAAATAATAAATACCTGCCAAAGGTGAAAAGTATAAATAACAGCACGGCACAACCCCCGGGGACCCTGTCAACAAGCTGCAGTTTAATATCTCGGTGCCTCCTTTCCTCCCTTGGTCATTTTTGCGGCACTCCTGCTCCACCATCCCAGAGCTGAAGTCAAGTCTTGGGGGTTTATATTTATTTAACGTGAACAGGGAGACTACTCTATGTCGGGCACTGCGTTAAATGCTGTGAGGAGACCAATCCAAGCCAGCATCCCTGGCCTCAGGGAGCCAACTGTCCCAAACAGCGGGTGGCTGGCGCACAAGTAACTAAGTCAGGGAAGAAAATGGGGCAGGACGAAGGAGGCTCTGGAAACGGGTTTGCTCTGACCTGAGGATGGAGCTAGTGACACACTTCGTGGTATTTTTCTCCTGGGTACAGTCTGAGTGTCCCCAGTAACTGAACGTCAACAGAGTTTGGTCTCCCAATTCCCCCCACCCTTGTATGTTACCTCCCATCGCTACAGGTGCGTAACTTGGAAACAACCACACTGCACCTGCTTAAGACAGGCAAGTACAAAGGAAGAGACACTGGAATATCCATCCAGCTGCTCTGTCCCACAGGAATCTGTCTCCCGACCTTGTTGCATAGTGTCCATAACTACTGTCTCTCTTTCCCAAAAACCTGAGCTTGTCCAAGTTAGACCTCATCTAGGTGGCATCTCCTGTCTTGATCTTACATCCTTAGCTTTAATGCCCGGCCCACTTCTTAAACTTATCGATCTCTCCAAGTTGGTGAATCACTTAAAGCTGCAACCGACCTTCCTGCCCAGCTGTAACATTCAGGTGAAAGACTCCCCTGAACTTTCACCCCAGTAATGTGAAAACGAGGCCTGGCTTGGACCTTTTGGCTTCTGCCAAAAGCAGAAGCCAGCCAAAAGCACTGCCAGCCCTGCCCTGTTTAGATTGTGCTATCACTCACTCCTGTTCTGAGTTCGGCTCTTGGAATGGGCTGTACGTTCAATTACTCTGTGTGACAAATTCAACTGTCTGCTGGGTGCATCCTGTACCTAATGAGGCTAAGATTCATCTCTGACTTGTGAATTTAGTCTCCCTTGCGTGAACATACAAGCGCACACATACACAACATGCAACAATCTTCTTGGTTAAAGTCATCTCCTGGTTTGTGACCAGGTAACAGTAAAGCGACTACAGTGGTTCCTGATTCCTAATGTCATAAAACACCTTGTTTTCCCTAATGAGAAAGAGAAGGCATATCAAAAAGCGAGATCTAGCAGGATAGACAGAAATAAAGGCCTGGAATATAAGTCTTCTGTTTCTAGTGTTACTTCTAGGAATTTAGCCCAAAGAGATAATCAGAGAGAGAAATGTAAACAAATATTTAGGCAGGAAGACATTTATCACAATTTCTTATAATAGTGAAATACTGAAAACCACACAGGTGTGAGAATAAAGACTAGGGAATATGTTTAACTGCTTACCAGTGCATCAAACACAAGGAAATCATACGTTTCATTGTCTGACAGTTCCATCATTATGTTAAAAAGTGCATCTAGTGTATCTTGCAGAAACTGAAGGTGAGAAGAACAGAGAGGTTATTTGGTGCTTTCATTCAGCTCCATACTGCAGAAATTTGGGGACAATTAGATTTCAACAGATAGGTTTAAACATAGCATTTTCTTAAAAACTGGTACATCTGCTTAGCAATGTAGATAACTTTTATATTTACAATGGTTGAATTTAAACTGGTAAACTAACAATATAGTAGATATATGTCTAACTATGAATATATGAACCTACCTTAACAATCTCTCCTCCATCCACCTCCATTAACTTCTTTAGGTTGTGTTTAATGTTCTGGGAGCTGGAACGCCAATTTAGCAAGCCTAACAGGTCCACTGGGAAGAACAACCACAAACCATAAACACTAGACACCGATTAGAAGGAGAGAACCAGACGATTTCAGGACACAGCTAGAGAATTCTCTAGAAAATAATCATTGCTTTTAATAGTGGCTAATTCAAGGCATACCTTATGTGTTCTTTTAATTTACTATCTCCTCTCTAAGTCAGAGAAAACCTTGTGGTCCTGTTCCATTCTTCAAAGAGAAAAAAATTAACCTCTAATGTACAAGTACATAAAAGAATATCTGACTACAGCTCGCATTTATCTAATGACATCACAGTCATAAGAAGTAAACCTCAAAAAGCATTCTTATGTAACTTTACTACCTTTAATTTGCTGCCTACTTAGTTTGTCCCTGATCTACGTCTGGGTGGATTCAGAGGGAAAAAGGAACTTTTATATATATATAAAGAATATATATGTATATATATAAATGTTCATTAATTCATTTTAACGTCACCACTGCACTGTAGATTTTGTTTTCCATTTTTTTAATGACAAAACTGAGGCTTTGTGAAACTAAATTACTTAAGTCACACACTGCTAAGGGGTGGTAGAAATGGAATTTACTTAGAGATTTATCTGATTCCAAAAACCAAGTCCTCGCTACTCTATCCTACTGCCTCTCCCAGGATTCTTTGAAGAAGTAAACAGACAAGCACATCAGACTGGGCTCTATTTCAAAGGAAAGTAGAACAGATTCGTGGCCCTAAGCGTAAATCTGGATAAAAATCTTGAGGTGTTTTTGGATTTAAAATGCAGAATTTTGGATCTTTAAGCTACTTATAGCTTTAATGAATGTTGAGCTATTAAAAATGTCACAGAGAAATGGCAGTTATCCAGACTGTGACTATATTACTATCTCGTTTAGTACAATAAGATGCTATTACCATTCAGAGTATTATCTAGTAAAGTAGCAATGTGTACTTTTTAATCAATGGATTTGCATAAATATCTGTAAGTACCTGCAAATGTATACTGTTCATTAGAATATCAGTGTGCTTCATGGGTTTATTTTATTGGCTTCCATATTGTGTAGGCCCCAGTTATGCCTGGCTCACTGGGAATGACCATCCTACAGCCATATTAGATATTATCCAAATGTTATCCGAAGTATTATCCCAATTTACATTCCCATCAGAGGTATGGAAGAATACAAGATATTCCAAATCCTTGGTAATGCTGAGTGTGAAGGGCAAATTACAGAAGAATTCATACAGGATGATGCCATTTATATAAAGTAAAAAAATATGCAAAACTAGACAATATATTTTTCAGGGCTACACATGTAGTAAAACTATAAAGAAAAGCAAGGATATGACAATCCCCAAATTTTAGGGCAGTAATTGCCTTTGGGAGAGGATTAGGGAACACATACTTTTAAAAAGAAAAGACAGACATAGAAAAATCATTAGTTTTGGAGCTATAAATATCTGTTTTCAAAACCCAAGGCTTATGAGTTTAGGTGAGATATTTCACCGCTTTAAAACTCAATTTTCTGATTACCAAACTGGGGAAGATCATGGCAGAGTTGGTGTCTTCATGTCCCAGGGCGGTGGGGGGTAAAGTGAAATGACGAGTGTGCCCCACCTGGCACAAGGCCCCACACCAGCAGGGACGCAAACTCCTCTCTTTTTCCTGAAACAACAAACCCATTCCCACCCTCCATCTGGGCCAAGCAACAAATGATCCCCCACAAATTGGTTCGTTCTAGTGTTTAAACGAATGGAACAAAAAAGAGAGTCTCTGAGATCTATTTGTGACAAACTTCATTGGCTTTTAGCCTTTTGAGCCTGAATGATTCCCCCTTAGGGGAAGGAGAAAGGCCTTTGGTCATGGTCTCAGGGAGAGGGGACAGCCACCCTCTCTGCTCAGTAAACGCCCTTGAAGAGTGGATGGTTTATTAATGTTCTTTGGCTTTTTATTAAATTGGTTCTTTATAATTTCCATCAAGTCAGAAGAAAGCAAATGCATGAACAATCCACAATTATGTGTCCCCTGGAACGCCCTGTTCCCTCTGACGCTGGCAATGTCTCTGTGGTGTCTCCAACTGTCCCACTATGTCCCCTCTCTCTGCGCTTGGTCCACACTGAACCCAGGCAATCTGGCTTCCAATTGTTCCCATGGATTTAAACAAACCTGCGATCACACCATACACAGTGTTATTAAAAAATTCGCCTTGTCTTTGATTATGTTTTGAAAGACAATATTTAGCAGCTGCCCTTATTTCGTCACTTAATTATATTATAAAATTTAGTGAAACTGACCCTAACTACTGGATACATTTGGGTTGTTTCCAGAATTTCCCTGTTATAAATAATAGGGAAACATCCTCATACATAAATCTCTGTGTACATCTCTCATTGTTTACTTAGGTTCAACTTCTATGAGTCAAATGGCTCGGCCACAGGGTCTGAAGACATTTAAAATCTTCCAAAAATATAGTACCCTTTAACCTATCAGCAGTTTATTATGTTTACTTTTTCCATAACAAGGGTTATATTACTGATACAATTTTGTCATGTCTTCTATGACACTCAGAGTGCTTTCTGGCTTAGGTTTTGGTGAGCTTGCTCTTACTTTTCCAAATGGCTCAGCCATGAACTTCACTCTGCTCCGTCTAGCCACTGGTCCAAGTTGAAATACTATCCTTGTTCTCTAGTCAACCACATCCACCAAAACAAACTCAATACTGATCCCTTCTAAAGATCAACCAGCATCTGGAACCTGAGGGTACCTTATATCTAAACTGTTTTGTCTGTCTTTGCACTTCCTTAAAGCAGAGCTCCCGCCAGGCACCTCACCCAAATGGTCCACAGGGCCAAAGGCAGTAACCCTCTACACATCACATATGGGAGACGGAATTTCTAAGCAAGTCCCCTGAGCAGCTAATTCTTGGTTTATAATATTCAATAGGACTCCTTAGGCATTACAAGTTAAATAAATAAGAAGCTGTTATTGGCTATCAAATGCCCTGACAGACACAAAAGAGGTTAAAATTGGTATCAGAGATTTGAAGGGGAAAAAAAAGAATAAAGTCCCATTTTAACTATTTAGCTGATTTTATGGAAAACCCCTGACTCTTGGAAAAAATGGGAGAGAGAAGAATACATAGGAGGAAACCATGACTCTAACAGGAAACGCTGCCACACCTGTTGAGACAGGAGACTGATTCTGTTTCATTGCCAGTCTTCCCCGCCCTGATTACTACCTCTCTTGCAGCATATGCAGAATGCATTATCGGGGCTCTTTGCTGCCTTGCATTGAAGGAAGGAAACATAAGACTTGAATTTTAGTCTCTCTTAATGAGTACATTCATAGGTTTTATGATATTTAAAAACACTGAAATGGTTTTCATCCTGTTTTAAGGATGGACAACCAAACCTCGGAAGGAGCTATGTGATTGGATCAGCACTACCCAGATTAACATCTGGAAAGCAGAGACCAGAATCCAATTGCCCAACATTCCACCTCGGAAGACCTGGTCCTCGATGGTCCAGCCCCGTGAGTCTAACCGAGGAGCCCGGGAGGACCGAGCAGAAAGCTCATGTGCGTCAGTGTTGTCACCACACCTACCGTTCTGGGTGAGCTTTGTGGAGCAAATGAGGGTGGCAATCTGAAAGCTGTCTTTGGTGCTATCCTTGCTTGGGGTAAAGGCGGCTGGGGTTCTGGATGCTTGGAGCTCTTTTTCTTCCATCTCCATCTTGGTCCCAGGCAGGGTCAGGTAGAATTTAGCATCTTCCATTTTCTTGTTGTCACCCTAAAAAGGAAGCATGTTAGATGCTCCCACCAAATGATGGGAGACATCTCTTACATGCAAATGAGACTAGTTTCTATCGCAAGCACAGTGCATTTCCAGAATGAGAAGTGTGGCTTTATCTAATTATCCGTAAGGTCCCTTCTACCTCTGAGACACTGTGATTTTCCACAGAGTTTGAACCCAGAAAAATTATTTCATCACTGAATAAACTTGTGGTTTCTAGTTGTAAACTAGCAAGACTATCCAAGTCATGCTAGAAATAATAAATATATTACAGAATAAGCTTGAGTTTCATTTTCTTAAACCCATAAATGGTCACGATGATACTTCTTTGGGTTGATGGAGGAAGAAATAACTTGCTCTGCCTTAAAAAACTATTTACAAACTAAGATGTTAAGGAAAATATTCATCAGGCAGATGCAATCAAACGAGCTGCCAACTGTGTGAAAACTCCCCCAGATATTGTTGGATAAATGAGATCTTCCAGCATCTACTTGATACTCTAAAACCTCAGTGGAAGCGAGAGCTCAGCAACAGTTAGAAGGGAAGGATGGGGACCAAACCCATAGGGGAGGAAACAAGGCCCCTAGATCAGAGAAATGGTATCTGGTTCATAGTGATATGAAAACCACATCCTACCACACTCACCACACTCTCTCCACACCCAACAGTACAACTGTTTATGTGCCGCGCAGGACGATGGAAAGAGTAGATGAGAAGAGGCCAGCCCCTTACTATTCGCTGCCGTGCAACACCACTTGCAGGAGAGGACGAGATGTTTCTTAGAAGACTAAGTAATAATGCAGCTCATTCTCTCCAGAAAGGGGATGGGAGACCACGCAGCTGGTGTGACCAGAGCCCTCTGGGTTTCTAGACTTTAATGGGCAAACGTACAGTTCTAGAGAGCTTCCTGATGTTTATACACAGAAATCTGCAAGAAGCCTTAAAAGCCAGTTTCAAAGGGAGTAAATATTTTCTCAGCCATTTTCTGGGCCTCATTCTGTCAGCGCCACCTTATAAACCACCAGATCGTGCCTCCCGTCCTGCAGAGTGGTGCCGTCCGGGTTCATCAGCTTCACGAAGGCCACCCCGAAGGCTCGTTCCGATTTGTCTCTGGCTGAAAAGACAGAAGCATGTGTCTGAGCAGTGTGGAAAGACACCAGGAGGCGACAGCCATGACGGCTGGTTTCACATGTTGCTCTGGGGTGTGACTTCAACCATATCACAACACACACGCTTCGGCAAGCTGCAAAAACCACACGTGCCGTGTGTGTCGCTGAAATTGGCTGGTACTCCCAAGTGTGCTCCTCCTCCTACAGTCCCTAACAAGTGAGATAATCCAACTCTACCCCTTTGTCAACTCCACGTCCTGCACACCTCTGGAACCTGTCCCTTTCTCTCCCTTTCTCTGTCCCTGTCCGAGTCCGAGCCACCCTCACCTCCCCCTTTATTTCTACGAGACCTTCCTAACTCCGCTCTCTGTCTCCAATGCTCTCCTGCCCAGTGCTCTCTCCACGCCGGAGTGAGGTTTCCAAAATCAAATCCAATCTAAGTCAATTGTAGGTGATTGCAAGCGTACATCTCCCAGTTTGGGTACGCTATTCTGTACGTAATCACCCATTTTCTTGTTCATCTCCCTAACCAGACCCTGGAGACTCTGAGTGGCAGTGCCCTGCTGGCTGTCACATACCAGGGCCCAGGTTGCAGCCTGGTGTGTGGATGGTGTTCAACAAATTCACTTTGGAAGGAGGGGTTACATTTTTACGGACTGCGGAATGAGAACAAGACACTGCCAGAAATTCTGTGATCAACCTGAAAACCATCAATTTTCTTCTCTGCTCACACTTTAGAACAAGCCATTTTGTCAACTATGACCCAAGACTTGAAATAACTCTTTCATGATAAAAATGGTAATTTCTGGAGATACGAGATTAAACAGTTTTCTTGCTGCAGGACTTCTCAGCAATGTGGCAACATGCATTGTGAATGTCTTGGGAGGAGATTTAACATACAGCATTTCCTACATCTATTTGGCTATGAAACGCTTTTTGTCTTGGAGCATCTAGTCATGTGTCAGAGAATGTCAGTGTTCACAGAACATATTTCAGTGGAAATTCTGATATAAAGTGATTAACACAGACCTTGGAAGCCCAGCAAATTCACAATTCTGATTTCCTTGGCACCAAAGAATTCTGAAATAAAGTTGCCATGTATTTAGTTTTCAAGTATCTTGTTCTCTAGATCTACGAAAGGACTGTCAAGCAAGAGAAAATATTTTTTTTTTTTTACAGAAATATGTCACAGATTTCCTAATACTTACATTCCTGAGATGACCTGTGTCGGAAAGTAAATCGTATATGACAGTGTGTGACCTCTTCTATAGCAATGGATACCTGCATAATAGCAAGAAATTAATCGTTTACAGATACACAGTACTTTGTATGCATGGCTCATTTTACAGAATTAGGTTGAATTTTAACAGCCACTAATTACTGTAGGGTGAGATTTGGTATAAGGTTTCATTCAAAGGAGACAGCTATTTTCAAACCAAAAGAATCTCAGGACGCGATCATCTTGCTGTTTATCACAGATTCTAAGTATAGCAATATTACAAGTTTCCAGTCTTTTCTCAATATGAACAGTAAATACCTCAGAGGGAAAAGATTGTTACTTTGAGGTCTATACAGGACTTTTCAGATGGCAAGGTGTGTATTGATACAGTAATAATTAGGGTCTATAACAAAAGGAAAAGATAAAATACTGAAGGCAAAGAAGTTTTCTGCTGCCTACACATATAGAGGGGGCAGGAAAATGGCGCCATGGGGCAATGAGTAGAAAATTTGCGGTGAGTAGTTAAATTATGGCATGATCATATATATCCTGGAACACTATGCAAGTATCTAAAAATAAACGTCTGAAGAACTTATGCCTTGAGATAAGTTTTAAAAAGCACAATATAAATTTATATAAACAGCATCATCGAAAACATATGAACTATATAAAATTGTTGAAACTGGCTACTTCTAAATTAAGAGATGAGTGCAGTTTTTTTTTTTCCCCTGTAGAGAGCTCACATGACTTTGACAATCAGAAAGAGCTATTGGAAGGCTGGGTGCAGTGGCTCAAGCCTGTAATCCTGGTACCTTGGGAGGCCAAGGTGGGAGGATTGCTTTGAGGCTAGGAGTTTGAGACCAGCCTGAACACGAGTGAGACCCCATCTCTATAAAAAAAAAAATAGAAAAATTAGCTGGGCAATTAGTTAGGCGTGCAACTTTAGTCCCAGCTACTCAGGAGGCTGAGGCAGAAGGATCCCTTGAGCCCAGGAGTTTGAGGTTGCAAGTGAGCTATGATGATGCCACAGAACTCTAGCCCAGGGCAGCAGAGCGAGACTTGGTCTCAAGGAAAAAAAAAAGGTGTGGGGGGCAGGAGGCAGAAAGCTATTGGAGGCTAGGATTCAGAAGTGGCCTCCAGTTCAGGCTCTGACACTAGTTAGCTCTAGGATCTGGGCAAGTCGCTTAACTTCCTCGAGTCTCAGTACCTAATCAGAGAAAGGGCATTGTGACACCTGCTTGCTTTAACCGCAAGAGCTGATATGGGGCTCAAAGGAGATGACTGATCTGAAAAGCACTTTGGAACTTGTAACACACATATTTAAGTTGAAAAGAGGCCCAGAAAACTTGGTTAGAGGCCAAAGAGAAAAAAATGTTAGGAAACTGCTTGCATAGTGTGAAAATTTCCGTTTGATTTTGGACCATCTTGGCAGCCTATTACATCATGACAACCATAAGCTTCTCTATTCAAATTTCTGTACATTTATGAATGAGAATGTTATTGAAGAATGCTGAGTTTATTAAAGATGCATGCTCTTCTACAGAATTATAATTACGATAATTTCTTATTGCATACCATAGGCTACTTAACCTAAAATGTCAAGGTGAAGGAGGAATGATTTGGGGGTAAAAAGAAGATGGGAATCTAAATACAGTTTAACAAATGACAGGGGTGACCCGAGACTCATTCTCACCTTGACAGTCTCATACCAACAGGGCTGCTTGACTTGGTAATAGACGACTGATTTGTATTCTGAAATGCCTTCATATCCCGCACCAGGATGAATTGCTTTCTTTGGATGGAAAGAGAAAATGAGGAGGGGATAATTTTGTCCAGAAAAGAGGACTCCACATAGCATGCATGACTGCCTTACTCCCCAACATGTCCACATATGCCCATGCCAGCATCTCTAAGCTAAGGTTGGGGTGAAGAGTAGAGAATTTCTATCACTTTATTTGAGAGTCTGAATGTATATATCTGGTAGCAGCTCCGGGACTCAGCACCATGAGAATACTCCTCTTTCCTGTAACTTCTTTCTCTTCTATCCCCAGCCATGCATTCTCCTGATTCCTTCCTCTTCTTTTCTCTCTAAGGGAACAGGAGGCCTGGTGATGGTGACTACAGTTAGGTCACCTGTGCAGATGTACCACTGTCTAGGGGAAGGGGTTTCTCCTTCCTGTCTACATTCTGGTTTGGGGGGTTGGTGTGTGGGTACGGCACAGTCGCCCAAACTCAGGGATGCATCCTTTCCTAGGAATGAACCAGTTAGTTCAGTAGAACCAGGCCTCCATGGGGCACGTCCAAGCTAGATGACAAAGCTATGCAATGACCAGCCAGGAGAAGATGTATACTTGAAATGAGCTCATCGGGTTTGAGGGCTCTTATCAATGGCACAAATAAAACACTCCCAGCTGGGTGCAGAGGCTCATACCTGTAATCCTAGCACTCTGGGAGGCCCAGGTGGGAGGATCGCTTGAGCTCAGGAGTTGGAGACCAGCCTGAGCAAGAGCGAGATCCTGACTCTACTAAAAATAGAAAAATTAGCCAGACGTGGCACGTGCCTATAATCCCAGCTACTCGGGAGGTGGAGGCAGGAGGATCCCTTGAGCCCAGGAGTTTGAGGTTGCTGTGAGCTAGGCTGATGCCACGGCACTCTAGCCCGGGCAACAGAGAGAGACTGCGTCTCAAAAAAAATAAATAAATAAATAAAACATTCCCATAGGGTGGCCCAAGCATTCTGTTTATCCCTCTAACACAGAATGCCCCTTGACTTTGTAAACTGTTCGGGTATGTGTTTCTTTCAAAGGTGATAACATCCATGGGACATGGTGGGACTGTACTTCATCGCTCCCTAAGCACCGACGCAATAGGACACTTGCTGGGTTGAATGAAGCAAGAACTGGATCCTTGGATTCCAAAGCATGTAACCATAGCTCATACCAGAGGAGCCAGATTTCAGTCGAGGCCATGGAGGCCTCCTGCGACCATGCCCTGCCAGTCCTCCTCTCCGATGTCAGAATCAGGACTTACGTCTCTGTGCGGACAGAAAGCTGCCAGACTTAGAGCAACCCTGGACCAGAAATGTGGAAACCCAGATCCTCCCCCAGCTCTGCCACTAACTGCTGTGTTTCCCAGAGAAAGGGACTCATCCCTTTTGGGTTTCCTGTAGTTTCCTGATCATTAGAACTAAAGAGCAGTGGTAGCTGACTTCCACCCAAGGGCTCGTCTAGGTTAACAGCCTCTGATGGACACGTCTCCTTTGGTTCTGCTCATTCAGGAGAAGCAATGTGCCTTCCTGTGCCTTTGGAGCACTCGGGCCACTTCGCTCAGCCCCAGGGGAGCTGATCGAGCTTGAAAGTGGCCAAATAACTTGGCAATGACAAAGCACCTCCGTGCGGGAAGCACACACGTGAAATCACTTGCGGCTGGAGTTATTTCCTAGCACCACGTGGACACTTAAAAACAAGCATCTCAATGGCCTCGTTAATAAAACTGGTCATTGCTAACCACAGATTTAACAGGTTTTATTATTTCTTTTTCTGTGAAAAACCAAACCCACCCTGATGTGGAGAAGAAATTAAAATAAGGCCAAAAGTCCATGATTATCGTGAAGATGGGTATGACGACAGCAGGATTTCCAGGCAACCCC